AAAAAAAAAAAAAAAAAAAAAAAAAAAAAAATCAACAAACAAACAATACGGATCAAGCCATTCATAAGATAACCAGGCTACATGGAAATATACGCAACGGAGGGTGGAGGGGGTTCCGCAATATTTGGAACGAACGCAAAAGCGTTAACAATTCCGCGTATGCGTGGGAAATACATGTAACTACGTGTGACGTGCGCGTGTTTTGCCATTGAATGTGTGTCAGGTGTACACTCTGGGGATATTTTTGCAAAACGAAAATGAAATAAAACATACGTACGTATTATAAACAAATAAGTACAAACCAAATTAATTTAAAAGAGGCATATAGACATACACACAGGTTTTTTTTTTTTTGAGCAGTTAAGGTGTGCTCATTTGGGGAGGGCAGCATAATTACACCTGCCTATATGCACACCCCCCGCCCGTTGGTAAATTTTACAAAAATGTGCGTATTCGCAACTTTTCGCTTCTACACAAAAAAAAAATATTATAATAATGACGGAGGAGAAGCAAATGGGTAGAACACATCCTCTGAAACGTGAAGCGGTGCGTTCCCACACATGATATGCCCTCCGCTACGACATCGCCACATACGACGCTATCGGTCCACCGTAACTATGGCGCTCTTCTTGCCTAAATCCTCATCCAGAATTTTGGGGACCTTCTTGGTGTGAGTATTTTGACCGAAGAAGTTCTCCGCGATGTACATGTCCTGGTAATTGTAATAATTAAAATTTTTTTTTCTCAACTTTTTTCTGCAGTAGTAAAAAATAATATACTTATAAATGATATCATTCATGGTGCTTTTATTTAAAAGGTACAAATTTTCCTTGAAGAAAAAATCAATTATCTTAATGTTGTAGCATGTGCTTGGTGCGAGACGACTGACAGTGGTATTCTCGTAAATCTTATGAAGAATATAATTGTTGATGAGCTTAAAATCAACAATGCGTGTGTTATGTAAATCGATTATAAAGTGTAAATTTCGGAAGAAAATTTTTTTCAACTCATTTTGGCAATATATATGGAACCAGAAATGGTCCACTTTACAAATGTCAAAATGTTTAAGTCTGTAACAAAACTTTCGTAATTTTTTTTTTTTCTTCACAATTATATATTTGTAATTATTACAAAAAATTTTACTTAAATTGTACTTGTAGATATTTTTTAAAATTTTGAAATTTTTTATATTCATTTTTTTTTCAGAGACCATATTAAATATTTTCGCAAAGTGGATATGTGAAAAGTACTTTTCTGAGTTGTATGCACTGGAGCTGTACATTTTTCCGGCTCCGTCCATAAGAGCTGCTTTCCTCAATAAGATCCCCTTCGCATGTACGTAATTTTTCGTATGTCTTTTGAAAGGCTCTTCCTTTATTCCGCTAGCCACGGACAGGGACGAGTTTTTACATAGAGTCTCGCTCAGAATGGCGCTGTTGTATCCGCGGTGGTAACTTTCGATGGAGTCGTTTTGTGCCTTCTTTCGATCATTCTCGAACGCATTGTTCGCCGCCACCCCACTGGCAAAGTCCTTCACATACAGGTTTCCGTAATCGCTGGCGTACTCCACGTCGTAGTAGTAGGTGTAATCTGCAGCAACGCCTCCTTTGTAAATAGAAGACCCACCGTTCGAGTGGCCAGATGCACCAATCCCTGCACCGTCTTCACCGTAATGGTCCATCCCCTCCACATGGGGGTAGCTAACTTCCGAATTTGCCCAACTAGGGGTAGTTACTTCTCCCTCTTCAGAAACACCATCACTCAACATGGTGCTTAAGGAACCTCTACTAAGCTTCTTCCACTTGCTCCCCAAATTAACATTTTGCTCAGAATTTTTTTCGTACAAATTGTACTTGTCCTTTTTGCGCTTTTTAAAAAAGTTTTCTTCCACATTGGGGACAATTGATAGTATATTAAAATTGGTGGGTTCCTTTTCTCCTTCGTTGGTGCGGTCGGTGTGTGTGTGGTGATTGGCGACACTGTTCCTGTTACGCTCATCGGGGAGGTTCTCATTAGTAGTAGCCCTTCCTGCAACAGTGTGGGGATGGGATGACACGGGGAGAGCCCCCCCTGAGTTGAAATGCCCGAACCAGGAAAACCCCTTGTTCTGCGCGTGATCTGTTACCTTCTTGTCTATGTTTAAAATGGAGAGTTTATGTGGTTCACCTTGGTCATCCTCCCGGTTAATCATTTCGACTTTGCAGTCAACTGGGTCTTCTTGCAACTCTTTTGAGCTATTCTTCCCTGCACTAAGAATATGCTTTCTATGGTTAAAATGATCTTCCACTAGGAAATGGTTAACTGGTTGTTCATTTTTCTTCTCTCCCGTTTTTGAAATGGGCAACAGGTTTATTATTTCACCTGGTTTCTCCTCCAATTTATCCTTCTGCTCCTTTTCCATGAGCTCCCTACTACCAGTCTGGGTTCCTTTACATGCCTCTACCTCCCCTTGCTGCGCAAGGTTCTCCCTCTCCGCGTCTTCCTCATCCTCGTCGTAATCCTCATCGTCGTCCTCTTCCTCCTCCTCCTCCTCCTCATCATCTGTCTTCTCATCATAGTACTCATCAAACTGCTTGATGTTTGCATTTTCATTTCCTTCGTCGAATATTTTATCATCTTCATCTATTTGCGAAATTTGATAATGCAAATTTTTTTTTGCGTTTCTTTTTCTTTTGCGTTCTTTCATTGGATGGTGTTTGCTTTGAGGTTTATTTCCCTCATGTGTTACTTCACCTGTCTCTTGGTTGTTGTTCAAATTGTTGTTGAGTACGAGTGGGTCATTTTCGTCCTCTTCCTCTTCTGTCTCTTCTTCCTCCCCCTCGCGTGACACGTTTTTTTCCTTATCGAAGATGATCATTTTTTTATCTCCCTCACTGATATAATTGAACTTTTCCATGAAAATGGAAATATGTTTGCTCATCATTTCTGCTAGCTTTTCATCATTCCGGGTGAAGTATCCACCATGGGATCTGAGTTTGTTATGGAACATAAGAACACCAACAACTTCGTTATTTCGATCTAAAATGGGTGCAGCTAAAATGGTCCTCGTTTTGAAATTAAATTTTTCATCATGTGCCGGGTTATATAATTCATTATTTACGACATCTTTACAATTAATTATTTCTTTATTTCGAAGAACCCAGAGGTTGAAACTTTTTTCATTACTATTGGCTGATATCTTTATAATATTTTTTCTTCCATGTATGGCTTTGCTCCATAATTCATTTTTGGCTTTATCGTAGAGAAACAGCGTTGATGTTTCGCAGTTTAAAATATTGGAACAATCACACATAACCATTTGAAATATAAAATCTAATTCTTTTTTTTTTTTCAATCTTTCACTCTTCGTTGTGTCTATGAAAATGAGTTGCAACATACCAAGGGCACAACCTAATAGAATCCCCAACACGGATCCCACTAAGGTGCAATATTGGTACACTTTATTTTTTATGTCGAATTTGGCTGGCTGAATTACTTTATAAGTTTGTAATAAATAATTTAAGACGTAACCAAAAAATATTCCAAACGTGTCACTGCACAGTTGGCCAAAGGAAGCAGCACACAGGGTCGATATGCCGAAGGACACTCCGATGGACGCATCAAAAATATCCCCCAAACGAATCATTATAAATTGGTCCATGAACCCAAATCCTATCATAGGAATGGATGAACAAAATATTATATTTAACACTTTTTTTAATTCGTTTTTTTTTCTTAGCTTCTCGGTTAGTTCGTCTTTTCCATCGTCACTACTACTCTGTGAATCATCCCGCTGCAAAATGATATTATGGCCTTCCGAAACATGCTCTCCCTTTTCGTTCTGCTCCGTCTCGCCACCGTTCGTGCGTACCGCTCCACTGCTGCTAACGTGGTTCGCAATTTTTGCTTTTTCCTCCCCACGCGTATCATGCAGCGTGTCGCCATGACCATCCACCTGTTTGCAACCCACTTGATTGTCTTTTTGAACATTTGGCTTGTTCTTACGCATGTGGGTTTCGGGTTCGTCCTTCTCGACTGACCCACTATTTGTATGCACACCCCCATCAGCATCCTTTTTTCGTGGTTGTCGCCCACCACGTTCATCTTTGCTCCCTCTGACGGTTGAATACGAACTCACGGGCGGCTTCTTCCAGGAGTCCTGGTTTCGCCAGGCGCGTAGCATTAGGACGCCCTTGTCAAAGAGGAAGGGGTAGTGTGTCCCTTTTAACGGTGGGCCTTCACCACTGCAGCTTCCCCTATTATTGTTTGTACCCCCGGCCCAGACAGTCTGTGCTCCATCGTCCAAGAGTTGGTTCTTCTCCCGATGATGATAATTCCTTTCCTTACTCCCGCGCACCACGCTGTGATGATTCGCACACCCAAGTGCCACCAACTTCTTTTTCCCCTCCAAACGTAAAGTGTTACATCGTGATATTTTAAATGTGGAAAACAAACTTGTGTTAAAATTATTTTTGCTTAATAGACATGATGACTCACACTTCCAAATACTTTTTAGTATCCTTTCATTCATAATTTTCGAAATTTGGGATCTCTTTTGTTGTTTCTCCTTCAGTTCACTTTCCCGTGTCGCAGGACAAACGAGAGTCAGACTTCTTATGGAACCACTTGCATTATATAACCGTGTTCCTCCCGCATGTGTACGTTTGCGCCTATGTTTGTAAAAATTTGCTTATATGTGTAAAATGGTTTTTTTTTTTTTTTTTTCCCCCTTCTTCCCCTTCACTTCTTTTTCTCTTTCCCCTTTTTGTACATTTACACAAAATGGGACTCGTATATTTGGAGTAATTCATCTTAAAGTGACCATTTATATGCCTTTCTTCTTCTGTTTTTTTTTTTTTTTTTTTTTTTTTTTTTTTTTTTTTTTT